AAGAAAGCTCCGTGACACTTGTCCTCGCCAGGCTCGGGCCAGAATGGAGAACCACGCGCTCGCTTCTTCGCGCCCACGGACGAATTTCCGAGATGCACCTCTGCGCCGAGCTCCATGCTGAACAACAGGAGATGGACCTGTTTGAAGAAAGACAACTAAGAAACAAGCAGCAACCGTTAGTCTTCTATACTCAACGAAGAAACGACAACAACTAAAACCGATGTGATAAGCAGAACCGACACGACACCAGAGGACTCACCATCGTGCCACCGTTCTGCCACAACTGACAGATATCCGGGCACTCCAAGGTTAATTGCACGCGCCCTCGAGTTTATCGTCCAGCAGATCCGCAATTCGCCTACACTCACGAAAATCCGCCAAACCGCTCGTCTACACCTGCACGAAACACACCAAACATCATCAACTGCATGGTATGGATGGACAGCTGCAGACCCGAGTCACCACCCACTTACGCTCCAGACGAAAAAGAACTGCCGCCGCCACGTTCACAAGGTCTCCAGGTCAATCCGACGTATGCTGCAGTCGCCAACGCCGAACCCACCGGGCGAAACACCTGGTTCTTGGACAGTTGTTGCGGCCAACATATGTGTTCTTCCGGGCGCTTCGTGCAACGAGAGCGACGTCTCAGCCGCGACGTCATCATCACCGTCGCCAACAATGAGAACCTAAAAACAAACAGACAAGGCATCGTTCAGCTTCAGTCAATGGAGACAAACGCCATACTACAACTCAACAAAGTCCTCATCGTCGACAACTTGGGATACAACCTACTAAGCGTCAGCCAGTTAATGGCGAAGGGGATTCACCTGGAATGCGACTCGGACGACAGCGAGTTTCGCCTTTACCACGGGAAGGGCGGCCTCTTCATCGGTCGCGCTCTCCTGAAGTCGGGCGTCTTCGTGCTGGATTTCGTCCCCGACCGCGGTACTGCCGACAGCGATGGTATCATATCGTTTGCCGCCTGGACGCACCCGTCGGATCTTGACCCCGACTTTACTCCAGACGGCTTTTGGTACTCCAACACCATCCATGCAGCAGAGAGAACACAAGCATTAGCAGTCATTCGACAAGAACGACAAGTACCAACAATTACACCTTCCTCGACATCACCTGTAGCAACAACAGCAGGACCAAGCCGCGGGCCATCACCAGCAATCCGAGGACCGCCATCCGAAGTAGATCAACTCATGCCCATCACCCGAGGAGTCTGCCGCAGTCCCGCCACGATCGTCGCGTTCTTCTCCAGCGCCGACCTATACCAGCGCTCACCCGGCCATCGCGCTCCCGACGACATCTGGCATCAACGCCTCGGACACCCTGCAAACAGCACAGTACTATAAACCATACAAGCCAGAGTATTAGAAAAGGACGCTCTTCTCACAACGAGCGGACAGGAGCTTCGACGACCCCGCGCACGATGCTTCACGTGTCGCGAAGCTGATCTTCCCCACCAACCTTTTCCGTCGCACCACAATCCAAGCGCACCTACATACGCACCGATGGAAAAAGTCTACAGCGACATCTTAAATATGCCTCGAGACGACAGTGAAGCAGAGTACAACTATGTCATCACGTTCATCGACGCAGCAACACGATACGTCTGGCACTACAACCTCAAGACACGAGATCAAGCCTTCGAAGCCTTCACGACATGGCTCCTCATCGCTGAACGAGAGTCGGGGTCGCAACTCAAGAGTTTCCAGTCAGACAGCGCACTGGAATACCAATCACAACGATTCAGGAACTGCTTGGCAGAAAGAGGCATCAGACGCCTGGTGTCTCTGCCCTACGCTTACCAGCAGCAGGGGGTCGCAGAAAGGATGAACAGAACCTTGCAGACGACGATGCGGAAGCTGCTCCTGGGGATGAGACTGCCCAACACGCTTTGGCCTGACGCGATGACGCATGCAGTCCACCTGCACAATTTGCTGTCCTCGTCATCACTTCCAAACAGCGCATCACCACACCTGCTGTGGACAGGAAAACAGAGCAGTACAAAATTACTTCGAGTTTTCGGCTGCATGGTACAGTACAGACCCCACACAGCCCGAGCAGGTCGATTCTCTCAACGAGCACGGTGGGGACTATACCTCGGCATCGCAAAACATTTCCAAGCATGGAAACTTCTCGACATTCAGGACAAAACCACCGTGGCCTCACGTGATGTAATCTTCTACGAGCGACTGACGCTGCAACATTACCTGGACAACATCGCCAACACAAACGACCCCACCGACGGCTTCGAGGGCCATCGGTCCTTCACCGACCGTGCTGCCAAAGCTGACGCAGCAGAAGAAGACGAACCTGAAGCCTCGGAAACTGCCGGACCACTCCCTTACTGCTACGTGCCCGTTCCACTCGACGACGACAATCCTCTCGATAGTAACAACCTCGACACTTATTACCACATCGCTGACCAAGGTTAGACTACACCTAAACCGGTCGACACAAATATATGTGAACGCATCGGACCCAATTTCTTACCCGACCCCGAAGACGGTGACGAAGCAGCTTATCCCGAGAATGACAATTCCCCTCGACACTCACCCACGGGCCTGCAGATACTTGGACTATGGGTCGCCGTCCAGAGCCCGCCGCCGCCGTCGCCGCGCGAGCCATCGACTCTGTCGCAGGCTCTGGGGGGGGAACACAAGGCGAAATGGAAGGAAGCAATGGAAAAGGAACTGAAGGCCCTGCAAGACCGAAATACGTGGAAGCTGGTGCCTGCAACAAAAACCAACGGGAAGAATGTGCTCTCGGGGAAATGGGTGTACCGCATCAACACTAATGCAGACGGCTCCATCGACCGTTTCAAGGCTCGCTGGGTCGTAACAGGATTTGACCAGCGATACGGAACCGACTACACTGAGACATTCGCCTCAGTCTCCCGACATACTTCTCTACGCATTTTGCTCGCCATCGCGGCCACGAAAAAGCTACCACTGCGCCAGATCGATGTCGCCAACGCCTTCCTGTACGCACCTGTGGACGCCGAAATCCTCGTCGAGTAGCCCCACTGATTCATCGACGATCCCACAAATGTGTCTCAGCTGGTGAAATCCCTCTACGGAATTAAACAAGTCCTGCGGCTCTTGCAGCAGCACCTCCGTCAGGATCGGTTTTCTGCAGCTGCCGCACGATCAAGACATGTACCGACTACAGAAGGGGGGGGATTTCGTCCTACTCATCGTTTACGTCGATTATCTACTCTACGTCGGCTCCACTGCCGACGTCACCACCTGGTTCGAAGGGGAGCTGAGGCGTGACTTAACACTCACGGTGTCAGACACCGTGAGCCAGTACCTGGGTCTAAACATCGTCGAAGACGACTCGGCACTCTACCTACACGCCAGAAAATACGCAGGCGTTGTCGCGAAGAAATTCGGCCTAACGCCAGTCGCAGTCGCGACTCCCTATCGCTGCGGGAACAACAGCGAAAACTCCGCAAAGCTCCCCGCGAAACAAATCCAGGAATATGAACAGAAGCTCGGCTGTCTACTGTTCGCAGCAGTAACTTGCCGACCGGATCTGTCCTACAACGCGAGCCAACTGGCGACACACCTGAAGCAGCCGGAGCAAGAGGATCTCGAGGAGCTAAATCGGGCACTGCTCTACTTCGTCTCTACGCCGACGACCGGACTTACCTACAGCAAAGTAACGCCATCATCCGTACAGCTACTCGGCTATGTCGACGCCGAACACGCAGGAGATAGGGAGAATCGTCGCTCCAGAACAGGCTACATCTACCGACTAGAGCCTATCGGGACTATTTCTTGGCAATCGAGCAAGCATGAACTAATTGCGCTCTCCTCGGCTGAAGCGGAATACATTGCTCTCTGCTCTGCAGCCAAAGAGGGACTTTACCTACGGGAGCTGCTCGAGGAAGCGAAAATTACGACCATGCACGCCTTCTCGCTATTCTGCGACAACCAATCCGCGATCAAAATCGCGAACAAAAACGGGTTCGCCAATCGAACCAAGCACATCGCCCTACGGGTTCTGAAGTGTAAACACTACACTCGAAGAAAAGTCGTATTGAGTACACGAGTCAACGGAGGTTACACGAGGAGGTTGGACGAAAGAACACGAAAGGACGAAGGGACACGAAGGGTTGCAACCGGAGGTTGCGACTGACCGTTGCGACTGCAAGGGTGGTAACCGAACCAACGATCGAGTCGCTCTGCGACTCGATAACCGTTTATTCAACTGTATTATACAACTGCTTTATTCCCTATTTTCTATATATTCCTGTATGCTTGCTTCTTTTATCAATCACTTGCTCTTACATACTAGTGTAAGGGTTCAACTACTCAACACTTCCGCTGCACTACTCAAACACCGTGTTCAAGTGGGACTTAGTCTCTGAAAATATCCTAAGGGTTTTTCTCAGCCCAACACTTACGCTGGGTCTAATTTTAATATGAATCGACGTATAATCAACCATATAAGGAAACTTAGGTTGCAAATCTGAAATTTATGCAGTAACAATGGCGATGCTTTTATTCTATGTAGAGCTTGCTTGAATACAACGAATTTCGTGTGTGGGCTTGAATCGAGAAATCTGATGACTCAGACATCAGCCGATTTTCTCGAGGCTGTCACCATCCAATTCCACGTGGCCCCGTGTGGGAGGGGCCTCCAGTGGGCATTTCCAAGTGTGGTCCCACCGTCACAGCAGGCTGACTCAGGGCATGCATTTTAGTAAGGATTTCCTTGTTCTAAGAAAAGCAAACGAACCCGTGGAGTTCGTTTCACAGCAAACCAGCCAGTATACGCAGTTTATTCGGACAGCTACGAGGGAATATTTGGTAACATTAATTTGATATCCTGATAAGCGAAACTGGGGCACTGCTGCTTTATCAAATGCTCCACGCCCTCACGTGCATCACTTGGGATCTCCCACCAACCGCAGTAACAGGCAGGCTGACCCACCAAACCAGAAGCAAGAAAACGGCTAGAAATTCCTTGGGATCTCCGTCTGTCTGAATTCGTTCTGAGCAAGCCAACGCCAAGCAGGCCTTGCTCTCAGATCGATTTTTGCATCTGCTGCTTTTACGAAGAAAGTGTGGCTCGTAGACCAGGAGGGTGATAAAAACTTAATCACCTCTCGTCCTGCATAGTCGCGTGGAGCCAAAATGGCGACCGGCCAACTGTTCTCGAAGAACACCCAGGCTCTTTTCTATAACTATAAGCAGAACCCGGTTCAACGGATGCTCGATTTCGACTTCTTATGCGGTGCGTAATGTCAAGCGGATTTCATGCTTTAAACTCCGCTGTTCCTTCTCTGATCGCAAGTTACTATCGGTTATTTTTTTCGCATTCGTGATCCCGACTTCAGTCCGAGCTAAGAAGGATGCATCATACTTAGGATATGCGGGCTCGTCGTAGCTGTACAGCGAATCTGCGCGGCTATTTCCCCACCCTCATGCAACGTTCCTCTCTTCCGCAGGCCGGAATCTGCCTTCGGTTGCCGGCATCATCACACCGGGATCTGATGGCTTTCACAAGCTATTCTTCGGCCAAGAGGAGATCGCTCTACCGGTGCACCCCAGGTAAGAGCCTGTCGTAGTTGTAACATTTCTCGTCAATCGGTAGACACGTCATTCCGAGCCTATTGTATCCAGACCAACGTTTGCCCTAGTATCAGCAGCCATCCTTGTTACCAGTTAGCTTCAAGTGCTTCTTTCTTCCTGCCCGTGTTTGTTCCCCGCCGACGCAGCATCACGGCGGCCTGCAAGGCGCATCCAACGGCTGACGTCTTCGTCAACTTCGCGTCGTTCAGAAGGTGTGGCTCGAAGAGACGAACAGCGTTTTACCGCTAGCCACTGCGCATGATTCGCGCAACTCTCACTGCACAGCACTTTTCCTGTCCGCCTCATGGCAATCTTTGTTTCCCGTGCCCAGTGTGACAAACTTTCTACCAGAAGTGCTCAATGACAGCGTTCGCCGACTTTAGCTCTCCTGCACTCTATCCATGTCTTGCCACAGCGCCTTCGAGTCGTCGTTCGAGGCGTTGAAGCAGCCCACCATCCGCGTGGTGGCGATCATCGCCGAGGGAGTGCCCGAGGCTGACGCCAAAACGCTCATTGCCTATGCGCGCGCCAACAACAAGGTTCGCCAGCACCCGCTCGTCCAAGCGTTAGCACCACGTCTCAACCGTTTCGTGGCGCCACTCGTTATCCTCAACCCCATTGTGGCTGAGCGTCATCCTCCTGTCTTTCTTCTCTGAACCATAAAACGCTCAGCTGACAAGCATTTTGGGTGCCCATGCCAACAGGTGATTATAGGCCCGGCAACAGTGGGCGGCATCCAGGCGGGAGCGTTCAAGATTGGCGACACAGCGGGCACGCTGGACAACATCATCAGCTGCAAGCTCTACCGCCCGGGATCCGTCGGATTCGTCTCCAAGTCGGTGAGTCACAGACAGCTGCAGCACCATGCCAGTCGAATTTCACACTGCCTTTTTACTGGTTTCTAATCCTGCTTTCCGCATTCCTTTCTCTTTTCTGACCATTCCCCTGTGTTGTTTCCTGCCTGCTGTTGCTGCAGGGAGGCATGTCCAACGAGATGTACAACGTGCTAGCGCGCACCACAGATGGGCTCTATGAAGGTGAGGAAGGGGTTAGGTAAGGGGTGAATGGAGATTGCCCAGTGCCTGTGACCATGAACAACCATTTTCCAGTCTTTCCTTCGAAACATTCGCCTGCAATTCACGTCCAGCAGCTAACAACTCCCTCTTGTTCCGTCAGTTCATCAATCGTAGTGATTGCCCACTTGCTGCGCTGCTCTCTCCTTCTGGTGTCCCTCCAGGTATCGCCATCGGTGGTGATGGCTTCCCAGGATCCACGCTCTCAGACCACGTCTTGAGATTCAACAACATTCCGCAGGTATGACTGCCCAGAGATTTAATCAACATGATTCCGCAGGCGTGTATGAACACACCTTGTCCTGAACAACGTGCCCCGGGTGTGGGTTACATCACTCTATGTCCGTCTGGGCCAGGTGAGGCAGGTAGGTAATTGCTGCTGCGTACTCAGTTGCATCCGCGCTTTCCTCTGCCTCCTGGTAGTCAGTGGACGAATATCCACAGCCCTCGTGCAAAACCCCTTCCTCCCTTTAAGCGCCTACACCTTGCGTTCTCCTCCCTCATCCCTTATTCATCACGCATGTCAGTGGCGTTGGGAATGCCCACACGAGCCACAGGTCCCCAAGGAGGATGCTCCGGTAAAGTGTGCTTCTCTTGCAAACCCAGCCAGGCCCCATCATCCCCATCATCTCTATCACACGCCCTCCCCTCCCGCGTTCAGATCCGCATGGTCTTGATGCTGGTCAAGCTGCGTGGGGCACATGAGTGCTCGCTAGTGGAGGCACCCAGAGGACGGCGTGTACAAGCCCATGACGACTTTTGAGTCGACTCACAACCTGACCTTTATCACACTCCTCCCCCCACTGCGTTCAGATCCGCATGATCGTTGTGCTGGGCGAGCTGGGCGGCGCGGACGAGTACTCGCTGGTGGAGGCGCTCAAGGAGGGCAAGGTGCACAAGCCCGTGGTGGCATGGGTCAGCGGCACCTGCGCTACGCTCTTCAAGTCCGAAGTGCAGTTCGGCCATGCTGTAAGCCAGTACCCACGATTCAGGACCTTCCCATTGGCATGCTCTGTCAGCTGTTCTTTCTATTTCGGCCCACTTTTCAGCCACTTTGACTCGCTTGTACCTCACTACTTTAGATGTTTGCTTCCACCAGATTCCTGTGTGGGTTTGTGTAACGGATTCCTCTCCAATGCGCCTCTGCCTCCCCCAGGGCGCCAAGAGTGGTGGGGAGAGCGAGTCAGCACAGGCGAAGAACGCGGCGCTCAAGGCAGCAGGCGCCATTGTGCCCACGTCCTTTGAGGATCTGGAGGCAGTAATCCGCGCCACCTATGAGAAGCTCGTGAGTTGGGGAACGCTCGTGTTCAATTAGAACACAGGGATGCACAGATGGGCAGCACAGCCACGCAGAAGCTGCAATTCTAGATTCGCTTTGCCATAACTGCCATCATTATCTTCGGTTGGGGTGGCGCCGTGCCTTCAACTGCATCGGTAGAGTTTCTCTGCTTGAGTCCCACGAAACGCACAGCGCCGCGTAACAGGCCATCTAACGAACTCCCACTGAGCCCACCTGTAGAGAACAAGCCGAACACCTGTGGTGGTGCAATCTGCCCACGATGCCAGAGGACCTCAGATGGAATCGGCTCCACTCTGACAACAGATTTCTGTCTGTCTATGCCCCATTGCTTCCAATCCCACCCCAGTTGCTGGCTGACAAACCTTAGCGCCGTTTCTTTCCTGCTCACTCCCCCCTCTGTGGTCTCAACCTGCCTGTACGTGCTTTGTTCGTGCCGCTATCTCCCAGGTGGCGCGGATACCATTCAGCCTGTGGCAGAGGAGAAGCCGCCCGCAGTGCCTGAGGGCCTTGTAGCAAAGCCTTACGTCTCCCTGTATTGTCCACCGCCTCCCATCACTTGCTGCGGATGCCGCTACCCCCCAGGTGGCAAAGGGCGCCATCCAGCCAGTTGCAGAGGAGAACCCACTGACAGTGCCTGAGGACTAGTAGCACAACCGCTCAGCACATCCCTGTTTCCCCCTCTGTATTCCCACCTCCACTGGTCACTCGCTCTCCATGTTGGTACCCCCCAGGTGGCGGAGGGCGCCATCCAGCCGGTGGCGGAGAAGAAGCCGCCCACCGTGCCGGAGGACCTCACAGCCGCCATCAAGGCGGGCAAAGTGCGCGCGCCCACGCACATTGTGTCGACAATTTGCGATGACAGAGGTGAGCCCACGCCCCCACGCACGTCCACTCACCATGCCACTCGCCGTGCCACTCGCCCCCCCACTCGCCGTGCCACTCACCTTTCATGGTTTTAGCCGTTTCCCTGCCTCTCTTGCTCTCGGGGGTATGTGCCTATCCGCCTTCCCATCCACCCTCTCCCTGCAGGCGAGGAACCCACATACGCGGGTGTGCCCATCTCGACCATAGTGGAGAAGGGCTTTGGCGTGGGGGACGTCATGTGTCTGCTCTGGTTCAAGCGCTCGCTCCCCTCCTACTGCACCAAGTTCATCGAGGTGCGTCTGTCCTGTCCATAGTGGCATGTACTGGCTGGGGCGCATTCCTACCGCATCATGGAACACCTCAAGGAACTTGGGCAATGCGCATGCACTTGGGGCGCGTTCCTTTGTCTCCACAGTGGCGATCAACTCATTTCTCTTTGTGGTGGGCGAACAGCCAGCAGCGGACTCTGACAACCCCACCAGGACTCCCTGGTGGCAAGATTCTCATCTGCCTGCTGTTCAACCCGAATTCCTTCCGCCAGGCCCCTCCCTTGCCGATGCTTTCTTGGCGAAAATCCCTGGCTTGGGATTATTTTCCTGCAGACATGTGGTGCAGTGCAGTGCACTGACCACAGTAGGGTCGTTCACGGTGTCATCACTACGTCCCCATTTTATCTCCCCCAGTGATGTTCCCGCTGATTGGAGTGGTGCACCGCACCGCACCACCCCAATCACGTGACACATGTGTGCGCTGCTATGTGCGTGCTAATCACGGCCCTTGTGCTTGTGCTGGCAGTATCCACTCAGATTACCTCCCATCTCATGGCCGTTTCGTGCCTTCCCGTCCTCCCCTACTCGCGCAATGTGACACGGCAGATGTGCGTGGTGCTGTGTGCGGACCATGGCCCCTGTGTTTCGGGCGCGCACAACTCCATCGTCACATCGCGTGCCGGCAAGGACCTCATCTCCTGCCTCGTCTCTGGTGCGTTGCCCCTCTGCTCCTCCTCCACTGGACAGGGCAACCATGTTGCTTTGCATCTGCGCTACATAACTCGTGTGTGGCAGCTATGGAGGAAAGGTTTCTTTAGCTGTCCATTCAATTGTAATTTCGTTTTGAGTCGACTCAAAACGAAATTACTATCACACGTGCCCCACACTATTGAATGTGGTGCGCACGTTTGTGTCTCTCTGGAGTTCTCCCAGACTTGCTGCCATTGCGACCTCGCTGGGTGCCCAGATACTTACAGCATTGTTGTTGTGTGATGCGTTGTTTCCACACGAATGCTGCTGCTTGCACTGCGCTTGCTTGCTTCTCTGCTCACCTGGTCCGTTCCACCATCACCCCGCTTCTCACTGAATCCGCATTCGTTCCATGTCACCAGGACAGTCTCACAGGTCCTTCGCCCTTCACCACCCTCATTGATCTCCTATTTTCCTCCGCGTTTCCTCTCTCCCTCACAGGTCTGCTTACCATCGGGCCTCGCTTCGGAGGAGCCATTGACGATGCGGCAAGATACTTCAAGGATGCTGTTGAGAGGGTGAGCAAGCGCCTTTCATATCGTGTTTGTTGTTTCTCAAAGCCGTGGCAATTTTTAACAACCAGCTTGTATACAACGTGGCTCTGCATGTAAATTCCGCATATGTTGCATCATTGGTTACGTCACTCTTGTTCACTCATGCTCGCCCGTTTCCTGTGTGGCATGTCATGCTTCACCGTGCATCTTGGATGGCATGGCAGGGCCTGAGCCCGTATGACTTTGTGGAGGGAATGAAGAAGAAGGGCATTCGTGTTCCCGGCATTGGCCACCGGTACGCGACTTACTGCTACCCACTGCCCACTGGACCATGATTTTGTGCACAACTTTTGGCATCTGCCCAACGGCACGTGGCATAGAGTGGTGTTGGTTTCGGCTGCAGATGTGTGACGAGGGCACTGGCTCTTCATTATTTCGTACCCGTCTATGCAAACCCCCACCCTGCCTATTCCCTTCCTCCCGTGTACATCACCCTATCCACATCCCCCACCCCTTCCCTTTCTCTCCCACACATCAGCATCAAGAGCCGCGACAACCGCGACAAGCGAGTGGAGCTGCTACAGGAGTATGCGCGCGCCTCCTTCCCCTCGGTGAAGCACATGGAGTACGCGGTGGCCGTGGAGACGTACACGCTCACCAAGGCCGCCAACCTGGTGCTCAACGTGGACGGGTGCATTGGCGCGCTGTTCCTGGACCTGCTGTCGTCGTGTGCCATGTTCACCAAGGACGAGATCGACGACATCGTGGCTGTGGGGTACCTCAACGGGCTCTTCGTGCTCTCCAGGAGCATTGGGCTCATCGGGTGAGACATTGGCTCAGGGCTTGTGGGGTTCTGGGGCTCGGCAGCATGTTGATGGCGCCACATGCCATGGGCCATGTTCAGCAAGGAAGTGATTGATGGCATCTTGGCTGTGGGGTTTTGAACGGGCACTTGGCGCTCTCCAGGAGCATTGAACACGTCCTGTGAGGCAAGGCTTGTGTTCGGGGCTTCTGATGACGACAGCGCTCACACCATGTACTTGGTTCCTACTTGGTTCCTCGAGGCGTGCCACATTCGCAGCAGATGCCATGCCCACATTTGCGGCATTTTCACAGCATGCACCTCGGCAGTTCTCTTGCCTTTCTATGCTTTTATGATGTGTTTCTATGGTCCGTCCGTCACTCGCTTCTCACACCCTTCCTGTTCCTCTCCGTGCACCCTCCCAGGCACACGTTCGACCAGAAGAGGCTCAAACAGCCGCTGTACCGCCACCCATGGGAGGATGTGCTCTACACCAAGTAAGCAGGCAATAGCAGGATATAAAGCAGATGCACGAGAGAAGCGGTCTCAGCAACCGTACTCATCCCTAAATGGGTTCCGCTCCGTGTTATCACTCTGTCCATACCTTGGGACATGGGATACCTCTAGTGGTACTGTACTTGCGACTCTAGATACAGTAACTCCAGAACAGCCAATCAAAGCAGGCTCAAAATATGTCCACTTTACCGTAAACTCCCCGATAAAGGATCCGCCGGTAAGAGAGTGCATGAGTCTTTCATCCGGATCTGAAAAGTTATTTTGGCAGTCCTCGTGAGCATCTGCTTGTTGGCATTGAAGTTTTTAAAGCCCCTGGCTAAAAACACAAAGCAGGGGGTCACGTGAACCTTGTATAAATTTTGCTGGCAGAAATTTCCTGCTTTTGGCTCTGAACAAAATATGAACACAACCACAGCCGGAAGCGATAAGGATCGAGGACAGTCATTGGCGCGTGGCACTGGCATTTTGTCGGCGACACCCAAAGTTGCCGCACGACTAAACCTCCCTTGTTGCCGAACCTAGCTCAACAACCACGCTGGCGAGCAGCCCCTCCCCCTGCATTTTCAAGAGGACCCCCACTTTGCTTTTGGTGCGGTGTATTCGCTAGTCGTTTTGCTTGAACGTAGCATTTTAGGCGGCAAAGTAACGCGACAGGAGCCGTAACTAACGCCTCTGGGCGACATTCTGCCAAGGGATGCAAGTTAGACGCGCGGCACAGCGTCCTCGTCAAACAAGCATGCGACACAAGGGCCGCGACGACCATAACACAGCAGAAAAAAGCATTAACTCCCGCAAATCGGATACGATGCCCTCCCTACTTCTACCGTCGAGTTACGCTCCCCTCCCCGCCCACTCTCCGATCGCGCTCTCGTTGCTCCCACCTCTACCATCGCGACACGCTTCCCTCCCGATCTTCAGTCGCGTTCCTCGCCGGTACTTGGCCTCGAACCTTCGCGCTCCTCGTCTCTCCCTTCTCTACCTAGGTCGCGAAACGCTTCCCCCCCTCTCTATCCCACCGCGTTTCGTGACGAATCACTCTCCCACGACGCATTGTTTTGACCCCACCACCCTCCCATCGCGCTCCCCTCCTGCCGTTTTCTACCGTCGCGGAAAGCTGCCCCCAAATCCCGCCGCCCGCGTTACGCTTCCTACCCCTCCCTCCCGACGCGTAGCACTTCCCCCACTCTCCCCTCCTTCCTTTCTCCCCTGCCTCCCTACTCCCCGTACCGTCCTTGCTCCCCTTCCTCTTGTCGCCCCCCCCACTCCCTCCTGGATGGGGTTGGGATTGAGATAGCAGAGGGCGGAAAAGGGAAGGAGTGGGAAAGGGAGAGAGTGAGCGGATGGATGGCGTGGGAGATGGCAGAGAGGGGAGGACATATTGCGAGGGAGATGGCGGGGAGGAGAAGGTAGAGAGGGGGATGGGGCTGGGAGGGAGAAGGGAGATAGGTGTAGGGATGCGAGGGAGAAGGCAGAGGGGGATAGGGCGGGAAGGGAGACGGGAGATAGGGGGATGGGGCTGGGAGGGAGAAGGGAGATAGGGATAGGGACACGAGGGAGAAGGCAGAGGGGGATAGGGCGGGAAGGGAGAAAAGAGAGAGGGGGATGGGGCTGGGAAGGAGAAGGGAGAGGGGGATAGGGATGGGAGGGAGAAGGGAGAGAGGGACTGCGATAGGGGATATGTCCTTTCTCCATTGCCCCCCTTCCCCCTTGCCTCCCTTTCCCCCTTCCTCCCTTTCTACCTCGCCTCCCTTTCTACCTTGCCTCCTTTTCTCCCCTGCCTCCCTTTCCCCCCTGTCGTCTTTCTCCCCTGCCTCCCTTTCCCCTCTGCCTTCCATTCCCCCCTGCCTACCTTTCTACCTTGCCTCCCTTTCTACCCTTCCTCCCTTTCTACCTCGCCTCCTTTTCTCCCCTGCCTCTCTTTCCCCCCTGTCGTCTTTCCCCCCTGCCTCCCTTTCCCCCCTGCCTTCTTTCCCCCCTGCCTCGCTTTCCCCTCTGCCCTCCGTTCCCCCCTGCCTCTTTTTCTACCTTGCATTCCTTTCTACCTTGTATCCCTTTCTACCTTGCCTCCCTTTCTACCTTGACATCCTTTCCCCCCTGCCTCCCTTTTCCCCCTGCCTCCCTTTCCCCCCTGCCTCCCTTTTGTCAAACATATGTGTGTGTGTTTAGTAGACTACATAGAGTCATGCCATTGAGAATACAACCCACTAGCTATATACCCTTGTATACTCCCATTCTACTCAATATTTTTCTAACTTTAAGATGGTATCATGAGTAGGTTAGGTCCCCCCCGCCCACCCGCGCTTCCGCCTTAGATCCTAGCCGGCCCCGTCGCCTAGCGCCTAGCCGCCCCGCTGGCCCCGCTGCCCCGTTGCGTAGCTGGCCCGTCGGCCCCATCTCCTAGCGCCTGCTGGCCCCGCAGCCCCGTTCCCTAGCGCCTAGCCGCCCGTGGCTCCGTTGCCCCGCCATCTAGCGCCTAGCCGCCCTGCTGATCCCGCGGCCCCGTCACCTAGCGCCTAGCCGCCCGTGGCCCAGTCACCCTGTCACCCAGCGCCTAGCCGCCCCTGTCCCCCGTCGTCTCGTCTCCTGGCGCCTAATGGCCCCCTGGCCCCGTCGCCTCATCGCCTTGCGCCTAGCTGTCCTGCTGGCCCCGCGGCCGCGTCGCCCCTAGCGTAGCCGCCCTGCCGCCCCGTCGCCTAGCCACCCCGCGGCCCCGTCGCCCAGCCACCCCGCGGCCTCGTCGTCCAGCCGCCCCGCGGCCCCGTCGTCCAGCCGCCCCGCGGCCTCGTCGCCCCGCTGCTTCGTGGCCCCGTCGCCCAGCCGCCCCGCGGCCCCGTCACCCAGCCGCCCCGCGGCCCCGGCTCCCAGCTGCTCAGCGGCCCCTCCCCCCCCCCACTCCGCCGTGTTTCCCGGTCCCCGCTCGCTAAACCGGCCCTCTCCACCGTCCTGCACCGCGCCCCACCGTGCTGCACCGCTCAGCACCGCACTGCATTGCGCCCCACCGCACTGCACCGCTCTGCACCGCGTGGCACTGCCCTGCACAGCGCCCCACCGCATTGCACCACTCTGCACCGCGCGGCGCTGCACTACACCGCATTCCACCGCACTGCACCGTACAGCACTCCTCCCCACTGCTCTTCGTCGCTCCGTCCCGCCCTTCACCGCCTGTTCGCGGCTGTAGCGGCCTTCATGACGGACTCGGTGCTGCGCTTTGACGCGGAGGGTCAGCCGGTTGAGTTCGACGCATGGCTCGTCAGGACAGCGCAGGAGTTCCTAGAGGCTGTTGTCGAGCGTTATTCCACCCCGTCCTCTTCCTCTGCCGGCCGCCTGATCCTTCCCATGCTCTTCCTTGATCTCGCATCTTTCTCCAGTGTCGCTGACCTTGCCACGCACCTGCGCATGCTCGACGCGAGCTGGCGCGCTGCCTGCACTGAGGCCCAGCTTCGTGTGTTCCAGCCCCCTATCTGCTCTACCCTTTACCTGCTTGCCACCCGCCTCCCTGACCGCCTTGCCACTGCCCGCGACCACTTTCTGGGCCTGCACCCCGCTGACCTCACCCTCCCTGACTTTGTCGACACCCTGTCTGCCATAGAGACCCGTCAGCGCTCTATCGCCCAGTCTAGCGGTATGGCGCCGGTCCCTATCTTTCAGGGTTGTGCTCCTGCTCAGTGCATTTACTACGACGGTTCTGCGGCTGTAGCTGAGACAACCCCTGCTGTTGAGACCGCTGCGGCAGTGGCCGTAGCGCAGTCCCGTTATGGTCTCAGCGACCCCATTCTGCTGCGGGGAGTCCGGCAGGGTGTACGTCTGGGTGATGCCCTCCGCACGACAAAACTGACCAAGCTGACCAGAGGCGAACTCGCCGCCACGGTCGGAGTGGAGACACAACACAGGGAGACCGCGGTGGAGGCGCGCAGCTACAATTCACAGGATAAGAACGTCAGGCACGTTGGCCTTTCGCTCCAGGGGAAACATCGTGGTGTAGAGCGCGAAGTCGTCGACGAGCACGAGAAAGTAGCGCTCGTGACGCGGTCCAGGGATGGGGGCTGGGCCCCAGACGTCCAAGTGCAGGGTCTGGAGGGGTGCAGTGGAAGGGCGAAGGGAGGAAGAGTGAGGAGCACGGCGGAGCTGGCCCTCGACGCAGGGCGTGCATGGCGGCGCAGGCGAGGGAGGGAGGGCAGGGAGCGACGGAGGAAGGCCTAGGACAAGACCGTGCTGAGACATGTGACACAGACGCGGGAGTGCGGGGTGACCTAGGCGGTGGTGCCACAAAAGCAACGAGTGAGTGAGCGACCGACACGAGCAAGCTGCAGCAATCTGGGTAGATGCAGGACTGGGGGAGGACGCGGCCACCGAGGGGGGAGCAGTGTCCAGCGTAAACAGGCCAGACACCAGGTCCTGGGGAAACGTCGGAAGGGGGGCACCTGAGGCGATCTCGGTACAGACAGCGTACCGCTCGTGACCAGGGAACGTAGTGATGACACCGAGGTCCTGAAGACAGCCGACACCAACTAAGTTCCTGGAGAACAAAGGGATGTACAGGCCTGTAAGGGAACCCGAGGGAACCGCCGGACAGGGAAGGGTAATGCAACTATGAGCAACCACAGGACTAGAGGAGGGGTCAGCAAGTGTGACAGCGGCAGGCACGGCAAGTGGCGTGAGGGTGGCGTGGTCGCGGAAGAAGCAGGCTAACGCATCGGAGTCAAGCGTGAAGGACAACGAAGCCGTAGTGGAAGACGAAGGAGGAGCAAGTGTAGAGCCTAGGCTAGATAAGGCAAGCGGTCCTACGCCTGACGCAGTAGGGGAGTCTGGACTACACACAGGAGCTACGCATAATCTAGAGAACACATGTTAATAAGATCCGGAAACACTCGAAGCGTCAGCATATAGAGAATGCAGGGCAGAACTAATCCGATCCATGTCTAAGTCAAACACACGCACACCGTGGCGCAGCAGACTGGACCAGTCAGGGAGGTCCGGGGCTGGACCGATGCGGCGACGGAAGAGGTCGTCGAGGCGGCGGAAGCCGTGAGCGGTCGGGTGCGGGCGCTGCCACACAGTGCCATAAAGGGGCCCGGTCTGGAGCTGGTACTGGTAGCTCACAGAACCGAAGCCGCTGTAGGACACCGAGCTACGAGGGCCACCACCTAAAGGGGCTCCTGGCCACCCCGGCGGGAGGCAAGCCCAGGGCTGCTGCTGCTGCTGCTGCGGCGGCTTTTGCTGCTGCTAGTGTGGCTGCGACTGCTGCTGCTGCGACTATGACGAGTGCTGCTGCTCCTGGACACCAGCTCCAACCCCCTTGTCAGAACCACTGTCCCCGCCACCACCACCAACGCCACCACCACGTCCTCCCTTGGGGCCCCGGCGGCCCCGG